AGTGACAGCAAAAGTAGCTCACCTTTTTCAGCCTCTAGGAGTACGAAATCAAATAAGGGATCGCGGGAGCAAAAAAAAAAANAAAAAAAAAAACAGAGGAAAAAAGAATGGGAGAAAAACGTCGCCTCAACACTCGGCGATTAGCTGATTGTGCGTGGGTCCTAGAAAGAATAATAGCAATCTGTATTGTCTCGACACTCGTCTAACGTGACACCGATCGAGATGCGGGAACGCGAACTACGGCAACAACGGGGCTGCCACTAGGCCCTGGACGTCGAGATTGGGGGAGTGAGAGAGTCCCTTCTACAACCCATGGCGGCCGCTGAGTATTAATAAGGTAAGAACTCAATAACTTTTTTATCATGAACGGTGCCTTTAAGCGCCAAGACTCGCTCGGGGGAATATTCACTTACCGAAGGTTAGGCGCCTGTTGTCAGTCTCACGCTTTCGTTACTACCATCATATGTCGCTTGAGTGATCTGTCAGTGGAAATCGCTCACCTACGTTTTCTACAGCGCGACGACGCTTTACGTTGGAGACTTCATCGTTTTCCTTCATTATTATTTATGTAAATATAAATAAGTAACTATATACATATAGTGACTCAACGGCGCGTCCATGTCCGAACGGCGTGGGAACGGCTAAGAGTATCCCAACTCAGCTCACTCTGATTAAGTGTATAGCCACGATTGTGAAGACTGGGACTGGCCTTGGCAAGGCATGTTGGGACTCTGGGGAGCAAGACTCAGTTCCCCGAACACTGGGCCCAGTCGTCTGTTGCCCTGTAATGAAGTACCAAGTAGTGAACACGCACCGTTTCGCAGCTTGTTTGGTGTCGGCATCGAGTCCACAACAAGGTGCATGTCCTGGTGAGCATTCCTATTCTGAAAGGCAAGTCTTTATTCGGTCGACCATGAGCTAGCTTTTTGATCATAATGAGTGTTGTGCCTGCTCTGCCCTCTAGATATGAAGCTTTGAGGTTTTTGTACAGTTTTTGGAATTGCGCTTAATGCAAGGAAGAGTATGTTGATGAAAACGGAGGCTCGTGTGTCACTCCTGACGCGTGTTTGTTCAATCTTGAGACAAATGACTGTTATGTCTACGTTTGTTGAAAAGCAGCATGTACGACCATTTTCTGTTAGGTTTCTTTCCATCAATGTTCAGTTCCTCACAGACATCCTAAAATCTCTGGCATCTCTCTTCTGAATGTTTTTTGATGTATAAAATAGAATAGAGTCATACGACTAACGTACAGAACCGTTATTCCTTGAAAAGATGCGGCAAGCGCAAGTAAGAGGTGCTGACTTGAAAATGTGTCAGAAAAGTTTTAGAAAGCTTCTTATGAAATGAAAGAGCACTATGCAGAAAACTAGACTGTAACCGGGTGCAAACCCACTTCTTCCGCCCCTGAAGCGGGACCACTACCACTACGCCACGTCGACGCTTGATATCGACACATCCAGTTCGCGTTTCCATTTGACTCTGCTGTCGCGATTTTCGAGACTTTACAGCTTTTTTACAAAAGCCATACAGCATTCAAAATTCATTTGATTCATCTGAATCTGCATTCAAAGTTCCGTGATAAGTGAACTTCACGTCCCTGGAAGGGGCAATTTTGATATCGCTGAAACCTGAATGGGGGTTAATTTTAGTAAAAATTTAGCTATAATGCAAAGTGAATTCTCGGTTAGCGATTCTTCTTTCCATACAGAATATTCTGATACCCTAATAATTATGAGGTGACCCATTGCGTTTACACAGTGGAGATTATATATTCGTCCTATTGCTTTTACGTTCATGACCCGTTCCTTTTTGCTCCAAATCATATAGTCGTCCTGAATCGAATCTTATATTTCAGTGTTGTATCCGGAGTTTGCGAATCGAAAGTTGTGCGTTGACGAAAAAGTCTATCCTTGTTCGCTCGACTCATCGAGAGCAGATGTTCACGATCCAGAAACTAACTGTTCAACGTGTTTGCGAACGTCTGAAGACTACGGTATGTTTTACACTGTGTTAACGAATACTCACTGTCAGACAATATGTTTTCATTCATGTGCCACAGTTCTCACCACAGCACTTGTTTCCGAGGTGCTAAAGATTTAAAACGTTACAGTTTTGCATGAAGCTAATGTCGGCAGTCTTTGCGGGTGTTATAACTTGATGAACTGACTACATCTAAGTTAGCATTTTTAGCTGATATGGACTTTGCGCGAATGTGTTTCAAGGGTTTGCCATGGGAGATGCAAGACTTCGAAGTACCTGACGTGGACACTAGCTGCACATCTTATCGATCCTCTATTTCTCCAGAAATGTAGGTTCACTTCTTTCTACCCCCTACCCGTTCCTCAAAATTTGACGAGACCGTACCTACGACTTCATTTTAATTGAAAAATCACGAATTGGGAAATGTTCCAGGATTACTGAAAACGATCTCACTAGCTTACTTACCGGTGACTAACAACATGAGTGTTCACTTACGGATTGCTGCTTCCAACGGACAAAGTAAAACATCTCATCAAATTTAAATGCATAATGCCAATCTTAAAGTAGAACCAAGCATTTTTCATGTTTAACTCCTGAACTTCTTTGTTTATGCTTTCATTTCACTTTAAGAGTAACGGGTCTTTAGAGGAGACATGCGTCCTTGGAGAAAACATGAACGGAAGTCTTTGATCCTCGAACGTACGCAAAGGTTAATTGGGCTGGTAGGATAGAATGGCAGACATTGATATGTCAAGGTGGCATTCATCTCAAGTTTTGTGGCGTACTGCAAATGTAAAAATTTATAATTTCAACCCTAAGTAGTTTTAAGTTGCGCCGCTGATGTCCAGTGATAAAATCCGGGAAACGTGTGTTCCTATCGCCGATATAATGAGGTCACACCGCAAAATGTGGCGTGCAACCCATTGCGAGGCAAGACCAACCGACCGAAGCCGATTTTTGATGCAACGGTTTCTAATTATTAGCTGTAAAATTCGTCATGTTCACAGCTACATATGTTTTCATTGAAGAGAAATCCTGAGGATTGAAAGCGCAAGAAACATTTCTGAACAGTAAGCTCGCATACGAACTGAAGAATTGAAAGAAAAACAGATTTTGAGTCTCGGAAGAAGAAACAAGCTTCTTTAAGTTCCACTGGCGTCGTGTCGTTGCATGCTCACCACAAAAGGTGTAACAACCGCAATTGGTCACCGGTGGAAAGTGCGGCGTGACCCCATTAACTCTGCGATAGAATCACAACACACCCATGAAATCCTGATGGGTACTTAACAATTGGATCGAGCACTCGTTCAAATCCTGTGAAGTGAGTAAACTGAAACTGAGTGAACTGTGAGTGAGTAAACTTATTTGGGAGGATAAAAGCATTGTCGTGTTCGGGTAACATTTAAGTTAAGTAAGCATTTGAATGCCACCACGATCCATAGTGGGATTTGGACGTGAAGGTGGGTGTCAAAGTGGATTGATCAATGTCCGAAGCTGCTTAGTTCGTTTTCGAACAAACTTTGCCTTCATTTCTCGGTGGTTTTGTTGTACTTCACTTCACTTGTACCTTGCCAATTTACCATTGGTTTTAATGTGAGATTGATCTTTGAATTTAGACGTTTTTTCTCATACTGTTTCTTGATGTAATTTGTTTTGTTCATTAACCTCAGCACCGTTTCAGCTTGACAGCTCAGATTCTGTACAGTGTGACATCAATATTTCCCATTTTCTCACTTCATAATCATCATCTAGTCATTCTCTCAAACTCTGGAGTATATTTCGTCTACTGTAGAAATATTTTGTGCCTTTTAACACGAGTAAATGAAACTCCCTTTGCTATTTATTGTTTCGGAAGCAGATCGTATTGTTTTCCAGTGATTTCTGACCTGATTTTTTCCCTGGAGATATTTACATCTGTAATTCACTTTGTGGGGGTATGAGCACTTATATCCGGAAAACGCGTCACCCGCTCGCGCACAGGCCGCGTTGTGATGAAAGGGTTTGGATTTCTAATGGAAGGATACGGTGGTCGCCGCGGAGCCACCGCCCTTTGTGAAGATCGCAGGAGATAGAAATGCATAAAAATAAATGGCAACTGGTACCTTCGTCTCAAATCTATGCGAAATCTCCTAGTTGACGAGTAGACTTCACACGATCACGGAACTGATGNTTGTTTAACGCCTCAAAAGAATACTGAATAAAAGGTACTACTCCGAAACCAGCTTCACTTCAACACGGCTAAAAGACCATCGGGATGACGTCCAGATCGTGCCACCAACTTTTTGTTCGAGATGAACTTGTNCACCTGGTGAATTTTTGCATACGGGTTTAGTGGCATCAAACTGCAATGACCGTATTTACCCAACAAAACCGCGTGGCAGTCATTCAAATGTGATCCTTTCCATTCTGATAGCCGTTGCAATTCTGACACTCCTCAGGACCCAAGTTCAACGCGTCTGCGCGTTTCCGCTTCTGTTCATCAGCGAAAAAAAAACAGCCGAACTGGTAAGCTATATCCTTATCTACGATCCCTTCCTAGTTCCTTTTCGTCACACCGTCTAGGAGGACTCCCTCGAGCGAACGAACTTGGCCTTTATATGGTGTAGCGAAGGGTGGCTCAGGGAGTCGTCAGGTGAGGCCCGAAATGTGACCAAGCACACATCCTTTACAAATGTAAATGGCAACATTTGTGCGCAAAAATACTGTTTCATGTTGTACTGTTTTGTTCTGTACCGGGTAACATAGCCAATACTAGTTGCATTCCTACTTATATCACTCCATCGGTATCGGCATTCCCCTTAGCCATTCCCGCGTTTTGGGACATGGGGCGAAATAGGCCATCAGATGTGAAACAGTTTTGTTTACGTAAGTACAGGGTAAGGCAAAATGGAAGCTAAATATCGCACAATAGCCTTGTTCGAGGTATTAACGGAGGGTAGTTTGTGTTGTTTAACGCCTCAAAAGAATACTGAATAAAAGGTACGACTCCGAGACCAGCTTCACTTCAACACGGCTAAAAGACCATCGGGATGACGTAGATCGTGCCACCAACTTTTTGTTCGAGATGAACTTGTCAGAGGCTCGGCCCGTGCATTTGAGCGATTTTCGCAATCCTTCTATTCGATCTTGTAGAAATCGTCGTATTCGCAGTTTTCCATAGTGACGGTACCGGATTGAAGCAGAGATCATTGCCCACGTTTTTCAAGTTAACCACAAAGATCACAGAAACAATACCCCTAGGTCCCTGGAAGTCAGGAAGGTTTCCCAGCTCCGTGAAACCTGCGATGGTCTTCAAAACAATAATTCCTGATACTTCCAAAGCTCTTGTTGCTTTCAAACAACGAAAGATGATCTTTGACGACGTAAATAGACGATAGAATTACGACAGTGCGACGACTTCATTGTTCACGAGAAAAGCAGAGTGTGGTATCTGGAAGGCGAGTTTACAGTCAATCATATTAAAAGCAGAAAAAGAAAATTTAGAAACGAAAAGTTCTTCAGTAGATGAGATAATGCGTCCGAATTGTGTCTCCATAGTTTTGCCCCACACCGCAGGATTGGAAAGGTTTCGTATCATTTGGTAGTACCGAACGAGATTGAACCAAGTTTTAACGCACAGTCTAGATCGTATGTTACAGTGGAAAAAGAATCCGGAGTGAAAATTGGCTCCTCTATCGCACTCCTTCGAGTAACAATCTCATCAGCTAAGGGAGACACTGCCGGGTAAAAAATGATCAAGATAAGGCGTCATAGGACCACAGAACTAGCTTAGCCGGCGGACTAGTTCTTAAGCGTTGAACAAGCTGTATAGGTTGCGCCATTCGCACAGGGACTCTTACCTCGCACGCAGGCAGCTTACTGCAGCCATGAACAGCTCGTCCGAAACCTCTTACATGCAGCTTTCTCAGAATTCTCGTACAACCCCTAAATTTACCTTGTCTGTGAAACCTTATATTCCTCCCAATTTTCGCGTTTTCTTCTCCACTTTTACAGTATTCTGAACCATCACCTCCATTAAACGTTTAAAACTAGATCCCAAAATCATAGTGAACTGCGCTTTCGAAACCGCAATGTCGGGCAAACTTACCAACAGCTCTGATAGCCATGTTGCCGCTGTTGATGCGAACACCTTCCGGAAGAAAAAAAAACTGTAAAATGAATCAAAGAAAACCAGTGCTTAGATTCGAATGCTCCAACGCCAAACTAACTAAAAGAGATATTGATGTTTTTGATAAAGGACAACATTTACCTGGAAAATTAAAAGCCTTTTGTCGTGGTCGGTGTAAGTGAATACCATGGGTGAGGGCCTAGCCTGAGTCACATTGTTCGAACTCGACTACTTACCGCGCACCATATTCGACTTCAAAAGTTCGTGCCAGGGTATATGAAGTAAATAGCAAGCTATTTATTTTCTCCGAAATGATATTCCTCAGTAAACATAGCGTTTTGGTCAGACCGAAAATTCAAGGGAGTGTCACAGCGACGACAAAGAACATGTATCCAAAGCAATTGAGTATGATTTTTGGCAAAAAGGTCGTTATACATATAATAACACCTTCCCCACTCAGACAATCACGTCGTGGCTATCGACGTCTTGAGCCCTTGCGGAAAACTTCCCAATGTTTTGACCATTTAGAACTTGAAAATAATTTAAAGCGTATTTTAGATCATGTTACTGTATCCTCTTTCCAAGTAGACTCGGCCGCCATTGGGATGTGCTATTTGACCCACTCCAGTGGAGGACAAGCGAAACATACTGCTTCGATATTGGTAGAACTCCGATTTCTTGTTAATATGAAATGTGCTTGTCTCCCCGCACGAGAACTCATGTTTCAAGGGTAAACTGTTTTAAGTAAAAAGTGAGAAACGAACGTTACATTGAAGGGATAACATCCAGAACAAAGTGCTGAGTAAAGTCGTATAAGAATGACAAATATTTTATGGATCATTTATTCAAACAACATTTCGCTCCTCATTTCTGATAACAGGATCTTGCGCGGGTCCGTTATGGGCAGCCGAGCGAACCTGGAACTTCATCAGTGTGCTCACTATACAAAGCGGTTCAAAATGAGGTTGAGGTAAGAAGAAATTACCTTTTAGTGGCGTAGTTGAGGTAGAAGCTAGCTTTATCAAAATGTGGCTTGGCATTCGGTTTGCGATAAAGTGCCAAAATTGCACGTCCGAAGCCACACACGATCACGGTATTGACGTAAAAAGCATGGAATATGTGAAGTGAGACCTTCACACAGTCTGCTAAATTTGCATCAACTTCTGCGCTGACCGAAGGATGGGGGCACTGGAATAGTACTCAAGGATTTCACTGACAAAACAGCTCACAAAAAAACCTGTCTGCTCTAACGTTGTTATATTGATCTGCTTTTCAATATATCCCGCTTTGCCGATTAAGAAGCTCGTCCTTGAAAAATTAATTGTTTACAAAATTACACTCACCTCAATAAGTCGGAGAAAAACTTCCTGCAATATAGTCAAAATTTCCGTAGCAGCAGGACCTCGACCAGTTGTTTTCTGCTCAAAAAAATCTAGTAATGCCGCCAGTCCCTGGGCATCTACTACCAAATATGCGCACAAGTGTGGAGATAATGCTGACAATCTGTCTGCAACAGCAACCCACTGCACCAATCTTCTTTTTCACTCGAAAAAGGAATGAGAATTAAACGTACTCAAGATGAAAGCCCCAACTTTTGATACATACATTTTCGGGTCGAATAGCATTTCAATTGCGGCGTGGATCCTGAACACCAAAACTATCGAAACAGAGGATGTGCACGGAAAAAACTCACTTCTCATGAACAGGTTGAGAGCTGAGAGCCACGTTATCCACAACATCACTGGGTTCCTCAGCTGCGACATTCCCTCTATATGCATTCATGAAGCTACGCCTCGCTGCGATGTGATTCTGAAGTCCTGACCGCTCACGGCATCCCCTATACCATGCCTGCAGAAAACTCAATTGAGGTGAGAAACGCGACTCTCCAGTATGCGTCTTAACCTGAATTTTAACAGCAGCTGACGTTCTGTTGGTCAACGAGTCAGAACAATGTGCTGTTGTGACCTTAAAATTTAAAATTGTAGCTCATCTTCGAATATTCATAAGTATTACACTTTTTTGGTGTTAATTTTTTTCACTGGGACGACCATAGCCATGCTCCGTATACAGCAAATTTTGAAGGAGGGACGATCAGTTTAACGATACATCTCCATTTTATATGTGTGCATGTATTTTAGCCTGAATCCTTCGAAATGTTACGCCTCGTCCCACACCACAACCACAACTTGACAGAATCGGAAAACCTAAGTATTTCCGATTCTGTCAAGCCATACATTGTGAAAGTAGTAAGAGCTATGGATTTAGCTATGGAACGATGGATTTACCTGCCCGTCAATGAATTCTCCGGATAGATCGCCTTCGCAAGAATCTTCTTCAGACAGTTTCCGCTCACAAGCCTAGAGCGACACCTATTAAACTTTGCAAACATGCTTTTCCTTTCAATAGAGAGAACCAACAGATGCAAGAGATATTCAATCACAACGCATTCACACCTCTAAAATATTTGAGCATATTTTTTGCAAACGCTCATTTTCACGAATGTTCCGCTGTAGCTCAAATACACGCGCAATGTCGACACATTTTTCATCTTCTATCTGGAGTAGGAATAACTGATTGAAGAAAATTCGGTGGCTGCACTGAAATTCTTACGTGACTATTTGATGTTGATGGTCCGCACCCATAAGTCTCTTCAAAAACGATCTCTGCCTCGTGCTGTAAAGGAATATATTACGTGATCTTTCTAATATGGGAAGGAAAAAGAACAGGAAACGGAATGGTCCTGAGCATTCTTCGAATGACATCCAACTTATATAAACTGCTATGTGTGTCTGTTGGTGTGTTTGCGTGTGTTTGTCTGACCGGACCGGAAATTAATAACCCCTGTTCCACTAGATCTAGAGCGTTCAAATTTTGTATGAGTACAGGTGGCAGTATGCGAACACTTAGGCAGGTAGCAGGTCCGGACTCCCCCCGCAGGGGCGGGGCTTGCGCTAAATATTTGGGCAAAAATTCATAGTTCCTGTTCCCGTGGACCAAGGTAGCACTGATGAGCGGCAAGACTAGACTCCGCTTAAAGTGGGCGGAGCATGCGTGAAAACTGACGATTTGGACAAGGGGCTTGCTAGGTGTAAAGGCAGCAGAATGAGAATGCTGATGATAGGTAGTAGGACTTGACTCCGCTAGTTGGCGGGGCGTGAGCAAAAATTGTTGATTTGAACTTGAGGCGTTCAAATTTGGCACGAGTACAGACGACAGGATTACGACATCGATGGTAGGTAATAGAATGTGAAGAAACTGGATATCGCTAATAGCGATGTAGGGGTTATATAGGAAGCGAACTACGCGTGAAGTGAGTGTAATTCGAGTGAAACACACAGTAAAGTTGAACTAAGAGGAAAATTACCCCATGTTATCAAACAAGCAGGACTGGGGCAGGACTTCGCTAATGGTGGACAAGACGCGAACGAAGTTTTTGGTGTGTGCGCGCTACGCTGAAAATCATCAGCTCCTGTTCTCTTGGACTAAAACATTTAAACTTGGGAGAATACAGGCTGTGGGTCAACTTTAACACAGAGGAGAGCCCGGCGTCAGCATAGCGATCCGACTGGTGTGTACACATCGCGATGCCTTCACCGCCTTGCTAACAGCAGATTGAGTACTAATTTTTTCAAAACGCTTTATTTATATCAAGCCATTACACACAGTCAATTCAAATCTCGAAAATCCCTCCACGTGCTCGGACACAGACGCAGACGCAAGGGAAAATCGTCCACTGTGGCGCGGAGGTGCGATATTCCAAAGGACTACCCATGCTCTGAGCAGGTCCATCTTCAGCGAATCAGTTGAGTGGTGTTGTTTAGAGCAGGTGTAATAGCCCTGATCTGAATCCAATGGATTATCCTGTATGGTCGCTACTGNCAGTAGCGACCATACAGGATAATCCATTGGATTCAGATCAGGGCTATTACATGGCCATTCCTGAGCACTGACAAATCCTGGTGGTGTCTCGGCTCCACTGCTGTGTCGCCCTCGACCTATGAGCCGGTGCTGAATCATGATGGGACACGAACGGTCTGGAGCCGAAGTGATCTTTTGTTCACGGAAGCAAGATATTTTTGAGCACGCTCTTCAAGTAGACCCAGATTGATTTCAACATTGTTGTCAATTAAAACCAGCGGGAACTTCTCTTCGTAGGAGATCGCTGCCCGAATCATGATTTTTCTGCATGTCCAGAGCGTCTATGAACTCTCCCTCTCTCGTTAGCTTCCTCAGCTGTCGAACAGAGCACACGATCGTTTTGACGGTTGAAGGTCGACTCCAGCGTAAACAGCTCCTCATCGCGAAGACAATGTCTCGGTGGCGCCGACGCAAATGTGGAGAACATCTTGCACTTCTGGATCCGGTTTTTCTTCATTGATGCAGTGAGAAGGTGAACCTTTCGGCATCGGTAAGGTGTCAATCTCAGCTTCTCTTTAACTATACGGCGAACAGAACAATGTTTTATTCCCAGCTTTTAGGCAATCTTCCTCATCGACCTTTTCGGATTACGCCGCACAATATAGAACTTTAAACATTCTCGCGGAAGTTGCAATTGTTTTTCTTCCTCTTTCTGGGCGTCTTTTGTAGTGCCGAGCTTCTCGAATCGTTTGATGGTGAAGTCCACACTTCTGCTGATTGATAGTTTTTGCGATGGCTGTGGAACAGCGACCCATCTGGTGTAACTGAATAATCGCGGGTCTGAGAGAATGAGGTCTAACCATTTTGAAAGGAGTAAGAGCTGAGGTTCGGCTCGCGTTCTTGATAAAATAAGAAATGCCTAACATGTTCGTAGCTAATCGATGGTTCATCGCTACATCAAATCAATAGGTCAAACTCTGCAACTTTGAGCAAGTAATTTTGGCGCACCCTGTAGAGCCTGCGTCAACATATCACTTATCCTTAACATTACAAACAGCATGTCATTATCTTGCTTTCATGAGCTTGATACAATCCTCATTTAAACAAGTGTTTTTCTGAGCTCTAGAGTCATGAGTTCTTTGCATTTGAAGCTTTTGTGGGTTTGTGAAAATGACAACAGTTGCATACAACCAGTTACAGTAAAAAACGCACAAACCAAAAAATAAACCAGAAAGCTCAAGGAGTTGTGTAAACGGAGATTCAAGAAGGAGAAACGATCCCGATTTGGGGCGACGGGTGTTTTTGTGCAGTCCCAGGGGAACATGTTACTTTATTTCACTTCGCTTGATTTGTGGTGGTTATTACTCGTAGTCCGGGAATTTCTCTTTCACTGCCTTAATATGTTGTTCTCAAATGGGATCATATCCTGGAATTAAGTGGGACAGCAATACACCCGGATTAGTCTTATTGCTTTTACCCTCGCACTCATTTCATATAATTGAAGATGAACTGGAGACAGGGAGTGAAAGAAAGCTGTATCTGAGAATTTTCATCGCAGTACAGCGGGTATCTCAAGAATGACCGCAATCCTGACGAGGCTTTCAAAGATTTGCTCTCTTTTCTTCCTTTACTGTGACTGTAATTACGCTGTAGTCTACAGGTTGGTACTGATCAGTCGATCATTATGAATATCGATGCGCTGTGTTATTGACCGAGTGTTCAGAGCACAACGCCTTATTCGGTCGTAGAGCATTCCGCCTCCGAGGCGAGTAATGTTTCACGATGAAATTACCGCTGTAGGTATCGATCAATTAGAACCAATAAATACTGAGACGATCAAATATTCACAGTATAGCTCCCTATCGGGTGATGCACTTGAAATCTGTGCAATTGTGAAATATCTGTGGTGAAAGGTATCGGCTATTCGAACTCTTTTCATCTGGGAGGGATTGGAGGACAAAAGCAATGAAGCATAGCGAATGTGGCAGAAAAATAAGGTGTGGCCGGGCGACCCGACTGGTTTGAGTGAAGTAACGCAACGCAGTGGCCGTCACCGTCGAGCGACGAGGAATTTAGGAAATTTCGTTCTGATATCGAAAACATCTAAGCAGATGCGCGAAGGGCGGAACCGAATCTCCCAGAGAGATAAAATGACCAATCTCAACCTGAACTGGAGTGGCGGCGCGTGTGTGCTCAGATAAACTTCGCTGATGTAATAAAGAGTCAGCCAGAGACAGAGAGACGTCCAAACACTAGTAACTTTGAAGCAAGTGCAAGAAGGATGTAACGGGAATCTCGTACGAGAGTTGAAGAAATAAATCCAACCTGTATAACAGTGGCAGCGCGTGTGATCTTGAGTAATCTTCGTTGACGTTCGACCTGCCTTTGCCCAAGAAATCGATGTCGACGGAACGCTCGCTTGAAAGAGAGGTTCGGTAAAACATCAGAAACTTTGTAGCAAGCGCTCAAAAGATGGAACACGGATTTCGTGCGCAAAAAATAATTTCAACCTGTATTACAATAGCAGCGCGTGTAAACTCAAGTAACTTCCGTTGACGTTCGGCTCGTTCTTGCAGACGGGACTGATGCCGACGAAACGCTCGCTAAGAAAAACGTTCGATCAAATATCGAAATTTGGAAACAAGTGAAGTGAAAGAAGGATGGGATTTGAGTCTCGTAAGAGAGATCACAACCTGCACTACAGTAGCAGCGCGTGTGAACTCGAGTAATCTCCGTTTACGTTCAGCTCGTTCGTGCACGCGAGATTGGTGGCGACGGAACGCTCGCTTGAAAAAAGGTTTGTTGGAGTATCGAGAATTCCAGAACAAGTGCATGAAGGATAGTAGTAGTCGGATCTCGTACGACAGTCAAAGAAATAATCAAAACCTGTATTACAGTAGCAGCGCGTGTTAACTCAAGTAACTTCAGTTGACGTTCGGCTCGTTCTTGCAGACGGGACTGATGCCGACGAAACGCTCGCTAAGAAAAACGTTCGATCAAATATCGAAATATGGAAGCAAGTAAAGTGAATGAAAGATGGGATTCGAGTCCCGTAAGAGAGATCACAACCTGAACTACAGTAGCAGCATGTGTGATCTCGAGTAAACTCCGTTGACGTTCGGCTCGCCCTTGCTCACGGGACCGATGGCGACGGAACGCTCGCTTGAAAGAGAGGTTCGTTTAAATAACAAAACTTCAAAGCAAGTGCATGAAGGATGGAACTCGAATCTACAGTGTGCAGCAAATGATCTGGCAACATCCCGTTTCAGGACTTCTATAAAAAATGAGGTCTTCAATCTTGACAGGAACTCTGCCACTACTCACGCAAGTTTTCTTCTTTACATTCCATGAATGTGCCATTTTATAATTGAATGGTGACAAGCAAAGACCAACCAGTCTCCATACTACACCTCCATCTGGCTGGATGCACTGCAAAGACCATCTCCAAACAGCTCCAGACCTCCTTAAAAACCGTGCACAACAACGTCGACAGGTAGAAGGGGAGAAGAACTATGGAGGAGCCTAGAAGTGGAAGACCGAAAAGTGCAACGACAAAGGAGATCGTGAAAACAATTTGAGAGAAAATGCGCCGCCACCCTCGTAGGTCCGAGAGAAAAACGGCTCTTCAGGTGGGTATTCTGCGCGATCTGTTGGGAGAATTGTCACTTGACACCTTCGATTTTGCTTTTATAGGATCAGAAAAGTTTACATGGCAACTGAGCATGTGAAGAAAACTATGCTTAAAAGATGTAAGGAGCTTAAGAGCGATTTTCGCGGTCACGACACAGCAACATCCTTTTCACTGACGAACGTCTCTTTTCAACGGATCAAATCCTGAACATCCAAATAGGATGATTGCGAGAAGCCCTGCAGAAGCCAGCCAGCATGAAGGGGTTGCCCAGCGATCTGAACGCCCAAAGTCCTTGATGGTTTTTGGGGCAATCACATTGGACGGCAAGATGCCCCTGGTTTTCTTGAAGAAAGTGGTCAAGGTGGGTAGCAAGACCTACTTAAAAGGCGGGTTGGAGAAGGAGGTGCTCCCCTCTGCAAAATCCCATTTCGGCAACCTGACATGAACTTGTTAACACGACTCAGCTCCAGCACACCGGTCCGAGGTGGTACAGGACTGGTGCGCAGCGCAGTTCCCAGACTTTATCTCGTCGAACGATTGGCCCCCAAACAGTCCCGACCTAAATCCATTGGACTACTCTGTGTTGTCGGTTCTCAGGATAGAGTCTGCTCTGCTCAGTACAGAAGTTTGCATGCTCTATGTGCAACCCTCATTGAAGCATGGGAGGATTTGGACGAAGGCCACCTCCGTGCCGCCATCAACGCTTTCCTAGAAGATTTTCAGCCTGTATTCGCGCAGGAGGCTGTTCCGAAATCTTGTTTGTTTTTATGGTTTATACAGATACCAGTTTGGCTACGCGCGCAGTATATGTCGACGGCCACTTATCCACGAGGGAGTCATTTAGCGGAATGTTGGATAATCAGTATAAGATAGTTCTCTCTAGATTTGAACGCTGAACTGCTGAGAGCATATCGATCGATATATTTGAGCAGAGTTACTAGTGGCTGATCATAGCTCCGTCCACCTTAGTGCAAACTCTTCCCACAATAAACTTGACCACCCTTCTTTTGACTGCTCCAAATCATTTTTTCCGCATTCCAGAAAGTTTTTAAAGAGATGAGCTTTTGGTCCTAGCCCCGCTTCCATGTGACAGCTCCGCCCCCTTCGAGGACTTAACTACATTTGTTCCAATTCCTCCTACCACTTTTTTTGGCGCATCCCAGAATGTTTCTGAATAGAGTTATAAATTTTGATCTAAGCCCCACCCACTTTGGTGCCAACCCCGCCCACTTTCGGAATTTGACCACATTTGTTCTTTTACACCTTGACACCTTTTTGCCGCATCCCAGAACGTTTCCGAACGAAGTTACACTCATTTTTGAAAAGTAGCTTTCACCTCAACGCACGCCCCGCCCCTCGTGGGCGGGGCTTCGCTATACTTATGCGTGCTCAGCACGCATAAGGCCTTGTTTACTCTTTTCATTTTTTTCCTGGCCTCGACGCCTTCGTTAAATTGAGTCATGATTCTCTATGGGAAGTACCGCCCACTGCGAGAACGCTCCGCCCACCGCCGGTAAGTTTCCTTTATTTTGATTGTTGTCCCATCCCTCACCTTTGCACATTTTTTCCCGGTGTCCGGAATGTCATGAGACCGAATTAGAAGAATTCGCCCATGGCCCCGCCCAATTCTGGCGCATGCCCCGCCCCTTAGGGGCGGGGCTCCGCTAGGCTCACGTGTGCTCTGTT